AATGTGGATGAACTTTGAAAACATTATGCTAAGTGCAAGACGCCAGTCACAAAGGACCACGTATTGTATGATGTCCCTTATATAAAATGTCCAGAACAGGCAAATCTATAGAGACAAAAAGTATATTAGTGGTTGCCTAGGGCTGAGGGGTAGGTTTCAGAGTGAGGGCTAAGGGAAGAGGGGTTTCTTTTTGAAGTTATGAAAATGTTGTAAAACTGGTTGTAGTGATGGTTGCACAACTCTGTAAATATACTGAAGCCATTAAATTGTATACTTTTAGTGAGTGAATTGTAAGGTATGTGAATTACATCTCAATGAAACTGTTAAAAAAGATAAAAGAAAGGTGTAGGAAAGATTGTTCAAAGTAAGCTGTTTTTATCCACCATGAGATAAAAAGTATGAGAGTATGAGAGTAGACAATGCATCAAGTTGATTCAGACCAATTCAGACTAAACATATTATCAACAGCAATATGCATAAAGACAACCAGGGATGACTTGAAAACTTTTAGCACACAATATGGCTTGGGCACCAATTAATCAAAATAGACTGAGCTGCAAACTAGTAAGACAGCAGAGGTAGGTTCTGGCTGAATATCGCCTGAGTACAAACAGTTAAAAGTGTTTGCTTCTCGAGAAGGGCGATGGGGGTAGAAGGAAACAGGCAGGAGACCGTTGCTTTTCCTCATAAGCCTGTCTATAATACGTGATTTTCTATAAACTATGTATACTTTGAGACAAATTTTAAAATATCAAATTTAAAAATTGCATGATTTCATTTCCATTATGTGGAGGATTTTCAGAGAGTGTTTTTCCGACATTATTTTTAAGCATTTTTAACTGTCATTATCTAAAAATTTAAAACTAACAACATTTAACTGCAATGGAGGGCATGGTACTCTCAATTCACTATTCCTTGTTTAGTAAAGTTGGAAATGGACACCAAAAAGTAGTACTCCACTTAAGAAAGTCTTAATTTACAACTATGAATTTTCCAAACATATCATTTAATAAGAAAGGCACTTATTAACTTTAGAAATGCAACTCTTACTTCATTCTAACTTATTCACCGTAAGACTCTTCTAAGTATCAGACCTTTTGGTTAGTTTAAAATGTGATTTGATTCACAAAAATCCAATTTATGCCCTTTTACTGAATTTCAAGTTACAGGAACTTAAGGGTCATGTTCTGCATGGAAGGCCCAGCTCCATTAGTGATTAGAATTAGAAGGTCACAGAGCTGGTGACAGAACCAGTCTCCAGAGCCCCAGTCCCAGCTTCCCAGCTCTCTCACATAGCTTCCCACAGAGATAACAATAAAACCAATGCCTCAATTTAATTCTTAATAGGGAACAATCTGCATTCCCTTCCGGGTTTTTGATCATCACTAGAATCAACTCAGCTAGTAAGTGAAATGTAATGAGGCTCATCTGTCCCTAATAATTTATTTGCATGACCTGGGTTCCAAAGCCAATATAACAATCAAACTACAAGGCATGTTTGTTTGGAGACAGCTGTGGGGGAAGTTAAAAGTGCTCTGTCAAGTCTTAGGAGAGAATTCAACCTGCCCCAGAGCTAAGAGAACAACCTAGTTGTCATACATGTAGGAGTCTGAGGTCGATACGACATTTTACTGTGATAATCCCAGCTGCAATAAATAAATAAATGTGAAATACAGAGACATGAAATCCACAGAGAATCTGGCTACAAGGGTAAAGGGTATATGTGACAGAAATTTCTAAAGGCAGCAGCTATAAGACCAGGCTATTTCAGGTGATCAGAAGGCATAACACCAAAGTCATTTTAAACAAAAAGGTTAGATTTGGGGGTCGAGTGGCGATAGCTACATCCTCCCCTTCAAGGAGACTTCTACAAAGAAAGATGGCTTCAAAATCTATGTATAGACTTGAAATAGAATTACAATGAACCATTTGTTATTTAAAGTTTCTTACTATCTCCAAATTTAACTATACGTGGTTTTAATTATAGACAACTTTATCAAGGTAGGTTAAAAATTTAAATAGATGATAGGTAGAGTTATTATGAAGCCTGCTTGGTATACTGTGCTACTCCATCACAGGGGAAAAACCACAATTGACTTAGAATCTCAATCAATCTCTCTCTAACGCCCTCTCTCTCTCATTGTAGCTTCCTAAGGCCGGAGGAAGTGGTGAAAATCTCTGTAAAATGTTTTGTAAACACTTTCTGGGTCAGCGAATTCTCTAAGTATTCTGGTTATTTGATAGGAACTTGAACCTCTTTGAAATTAATCAGTCTTATGTCCTCCCCACTCATTAAGAAAAATTAGTTACAGAGCAACCGGACAGACTACATTTAGGAAAATAACATATAAAGTGAAAATTCTTCCATTAGCGACTCGAATGCTCCATGCCTAAAAGGAATGACATAACTTGTCCAGCTCCTTAAAATAACTGAGCCCTACAGAATTAGTGAGAGCCTCAATGGAATGTATGCTTCTAAGACTGTACAAAAAAGTTCAGAAAGCCTTCATCTGCTTGCCTTCAGAAAAAGGCCATGAAAGGGAATTTAAAGAAATTCTATAGCTCACACCAGTGTTCATATCATCAGAAAAGAAGTTGAACAATTCTAGCTAGACAATTTTAAATCAATTCTTTAATTCAACAACTATTTTCTAAATATGTTTCTTAAAATGTTCTCTATGTACAATAGAGCAAACACCTACTGAATAAGATCAATAAGGCATGTTTCTTGCATAAATAAATCAAATGGGTGCAAAGGTTTTCATTTGTTTTCTGAACTTCGGTGGGATGGCACCCTATTAAACTAGGGATATTTAGGTAAAAGGAATTTGAATAAACCCTCCATGAGGGCAGGGACCTCTCCATCTTGTTCACCAACCAGTTCCCAGCATGTGGAACAGAGCCTGGCACACAGTAGGCATGCGATATTTGTTGACTAAGTGAACAGATTATACCTGTGTGTTCCTTCCTTGGGAGTACCGGGGAAAAGCAGACGCAGGACAATAAAACTGGCCAGGCCAGATGGAGTTTATGCACTTTTTGGAAACTTTGTGAAAATAATTTCTAAAAGCTGATTCAGTAGCTAATGTCAACAATGTTATCACTCATATGAGACGTTGATGCATAAAAATAAGTTCGATTCAGCAATCAATTACCGAGCCATAATGTTTCATTTCCACACATTTTAGGAATCTGCTCAGATTTATTACTGGGAACAGTCATCTCTCCCACTCTGATTCCTTTCCTTCTGATCACTCCTCGGCCTACTGCGATCTGTTTTCTCTCCCCACACTGCTCTGGCCAAGGTGACCAATGACCTCCAGTTGCCAAGCACGAGGGACACTTGACATCTCAATGGCATCCAACACAGGTAACCTGTCCCACTCTCGCCTCTGACCTTCCTTAACACTCCCTCTCCAGAACACTCCTTCTGGCTGCTGCTTTAACTTCGCCAGGTCTTCACTACCTGACTCATACACGTGCAGGTCCCTTAGCCTGTGCCTACGCCTCTCCTCTCCTTTTTGTTCTATATCTTCTATCTGCTCAATGTTCACCTGCTCCACTGGCTTCAAATAACACGGCTACGACTCCCAATCTCTCTCTTCTTTTTTTTTTTTTTTTTTTTTGAGGAAGA